GCTGCTTACTGTTTGATACGGTGGGTAAAGTGGAGGAACATCCAGCGATGGGGTGGCGGGTCTGAGGCGCTGCTGCTGCTGCTGCCGGGCGGCGGGGGGGGCGCCGGGCGGGCGGCGCGGCCGGGGGGGCTCCGGGCCGGGGGCTCGGGGGGGGGCTCCGGGCCGCCGCCCCCGCGCCCCGCCGCCGCCCGCCCGCCCCTCCCGCCGGCGGCGGGGCCAGTCCGCGTCCCGGGGGGCGGGCGGTCAGTCCTCCTCGGGCTCCTCGGCCTGCAGCAGCGCGCCGGGCGGCCCGGCGGCGGCCGCCTCGGCCTCGGGGGGCGGCTCGGCGCCCGCGGCGGGGGCGGAGGCGGCGGCGGCGGCGCGCTTGTCCCGCTGCTTCTCCTGGATCTTCTTCATCTCGTCCGAGTACTTGCAGAAGGTGTGGCCGAACTTGGCCCAGACCTTGTAAGGGACGGTGATGGAGTTGCGGTAGGTGGGCTTCACCTCGCTCACCCGCATGAACACGCCGTACTTGTTGGAGCCCACGTCGAAGAAGAAGCGCTTGTTGTCCACAGTCAAGGAGGTGCCCTCGGGCAGCTCGGCCGGCTCCTCCTCCACGCCGTAGTCGTCGATGAGCTTGGCCAGGGCGTCGCGGAACTCGATGAGGCCCTGCGCGGGCAGCGCGATGGTCTGGCCCTGCGTGGAGCCCAGCCCCGGGCCGCGGTTCACGGTCTGGCGGACGCGCAGGAAGCGCCCGCGCTGGTTCTCCTTCAGATCCATGTAGTACTTGCGGTTCTCCCGCACCAGGAACTCGCTCTTCAGCGCCCGCCGGGGCTCGTCGGCCGCCTGCGCCAGCTCGGGGGGCTGGCTGGGCCCCAGCTGCGCGTAGTGCTCGATGAAGTCGCCCAGGTAGTCGCGGAACTCGACGGCCACCGACATGGAGAGGGTCAGGCGGCTCTTGTTGCCGCCCGCGCCCACCTCGGCGATCTTGAGGAAGCGGCCCTTGGCGTTCTGCTTCACGTCCAGGTAGAAGCGCTTGTTCTGGATGTCCACCCGCTTGGAGGCCAGCTCCTGCGTCTCGTGCTGCAGCCCGCCGCCCGGGCCCCCTCCGCCGCCGCCGCCGCCCGGGCCGCCGCCGCCCGCGCCCGGCCCCCCGGCGCCCGCCGCGCCCCCGCCGCCGCCGCCCTGCTCGCTGCCGCTGTCTCTGTCCGCCATGATGCCGCCGCCGCTCCGCCGCCGCCGCCGCTCGGGCCTCGCCCGCCGCTGCTCGCCCCGGCGCGGCCGCCCCCCGCCGCCGCCGCCGCCGCCTCCTGCCGCCGCCGCCGCCTCGGCCGCCCCCGGCCGCCGCCGCCGCCGCCTCCTCCTCCTCCTCCTCCTCCTCCTCCCGCCGCCGCCGCCGCCGCCGCCGCCGCTGCTGCAACAGCCCCCGCGGCCACCAGCCGGCCGCGCTCTCGCGAGATCTGCCGGAGCGAGGAGAGGGCGCGGGAAGGCGGCAGAGAGCGGCCCCCGCCGCCGGCCGCCCCGGTGAGCGCCGGCAGCGCCCAGCGCCGCCCTGCGGCCGCCGCGGGTACTGCAGCTGCCGCGCCGCGCCGCCCCGACTCCGATCGCGGTCCCGACCCCGATCCCGATCCCGATCCCGCGGCACCGCCGCCTTCCCGACCCCACCGCCGCCTTCCCGACCCCGATCCCGCGGCACTGCCGCCTTCCCGACCCCACCGCCGCCTTCCCGACCCGATCCCGCGGCACCGCCGCCTTCCCGACCCCACCGCCGCCTTCCCGACCCCGATCCCGCGGCACTGCCGCCTTCCCGACCCCACCGCCGCCTTCCCGACCCCGATCCCGCGGCACCGCCGCCTTCCCGACCCCACTGCCGCCTTCCCGACCCCACCGGGTCGTGCTCCTCGGAGGGAACCGTCCGACCCTCCGCCCCGGTGGGATTACCGGGCTCCGCGGGTGGGATGCGTGTTTGTTCGGGAAGTTGGTAGTGGAGTTAATTTATAGGGAGGGCTTCGGAGCGGAGCGGGGTAAAGGGAATCCCCCCCGGAGCGCAGCGTAATGGGGATTGCGGAAGGACGGGCACACACATCGAGCATCCCCCCCATCCCGCGTAGCGGGGATATGGAGATGGGGTTTGGAGGTTTGGAGGTGGACTTTAAAGGTCTGGAGGCAGGTTTTGGAGGTGGACTTTGGAGGTTTGAGGGTGGGTTTTGAAGGTTTGGAGGTGGGTTTCAGAGGTCTGGAGGTGGGTTTTGGAGGAGATGCTTTAGCTTATAGTCCTTGTTCCCAAACCCCCATCTCAAGCGAGCTCTAGCCCAAGTAAGGATGGTTTCTCCTGCAGGTCAGCAAGCAAAGTGTCAGGATTGCTTGGGGTAAAAGTAACTTCCCTGCCTGCTGCTTCAGGACCGCTGCCCTCTGTGGAGGGCACTGATCTATCTCAAGCATCCTAAAGAGCCTGCAAGTGTTACACAATGAATGAGGTGAATTTTGGGGTGGTCCACAGGATATGTTTGGCACTCATATGCCTTATTGAGGAGACAGGGATTGAACTGAGGCTTAGAGGATGCTCAGATATCATGGGAGGAACCTCCAGCCTGCCCCTTGGCTGTAGTTAAAACCTTGGTGATAGAGACTCAGTGGGTAATTAAAAAATTAAATAGGGAAACAATTTCCTATTCCCACAGAAAGAATATTTTGGAGCTGGCTGAGCTCTCGGCTGCGGGAAAGCCTTGAGTGCTTGGGATGCACAGATGCTGCCTTTGATTTCCAGCCCTCCCAAACTCTCTGGAGGGGTCCTTGGTGTAGGAACTGCGTGTCCAGGCTGGAATCATCTCACTGCATCCATGGCAGGCTGCGGACTGGAGCTCTGGCAACCCCTTTGCCTTGATTTGCTCTTTTTATCCTGAAGGCAAACAGCATTAAACAGCCTTAACTGAGACCTATCTTGCTAATGCCACCAGGTATCTTTATGGATAAACCACTGCTTTATCCATGTGGTAGAGCTGGGAAATGCATAATTGCTAAGGAATTGTGTTTGGTGGAAGCCCTGGAAGCGTGTGGCTGATCTGTCTCTGAGGGGGGTGGAGTGGGAATCACTGGTGCTGACGATGCCGGCCAGCAGCAGAGGTTATTTTTTAATCCCATCACAGGCCAGTGCTACTGTTTTGAGGGTGGATGTGCTCCAGGTGGACATCAGCAATCCCAGGAGCAACGTGCCAACATTTGTGCTTTGGTAGGACTGTGCTGATGAGACTCTGCTTGCCCAGCACCATTCTGTGTTGGAAGCCACAGCAACTACTTGATGCTCTGGTTTTGAGACTGAGTTTGGCTTGAATACATCACATCATTTGGCTATTTAAGTAAAGAAAACAAAGCAAAAAAAGGTGGGGTTTTTCCCCAGTTTCAATGGGAGCTCTTCATGCCTTGTCCAGGGACTGATGGCCAAAGCCTGGATGGGATTTTGCAGGGAGCTCCTGTGTCACATGCTGCCTGTTGCAGTCATATCAGTGCCTCCCATATGGTTATCAGGCTGCACCCTGGGCTGCTTCTGTGGCTTCTGCTGAAACCCATCCCAGACCTCTGCTCTGAAAATCAGAAATCTTTTCATCCCCAGTCACACAACTCTCGGCTTGGTGATTTCACAAGATTTTCTCATGTTTTCTCCCCTTCCACATGTCTCTAAGTAGCAATTATATCCCCTTCAGCCCTGTTCTGATAGCCTAAATAAGATCAACTTTTGGGAGTTTCCTCTCATAAAATGAATCCTCCTTTCTTTGACTGTTATAGTCGTCGTTTATCGCAGCAGTTTCAGCTCCTCAGAAAGACAAGGGAAAATGTTTTTCAGAGTTGTGGCTGGGATTTCAGGCTGAAGATCAATGGGCCTTTTGTTTTGAAGTCCAATTCAGTGGGCTTTTAAGAACATATCTGATCATTACAGTGAGCATCCCCAAGTTTGGAGCCCAAGCCTGTTATTCAGCTATGAAACAACAACTCTGCTGACTCCAAGAACTTGTACAAACATTTATAATCAACAGGAGGGAAGCAAAGAGCCATTCAAACAACAGATAAGATTAGTAACCGAAGTGGCTGGGCTGCAACTGTTATTGTGCAAGTCAAAGAAAAGGCTGTCACACACGGAGGATGTTGCCAAGAAAGATTCATTCGAGTCGCCGAGTCATTCTTCTGTCCGAATTCTCCTGCAGTCTTCCCAGATCTGTTCAGGCTGAGTTGGGTGATTTGCTGGATTAGGAGGCAGCTGGGTTTAGCCTTTTTGCCACATTGTGTCAGATATTTGCCTCGGTCCCATCCCTGTCCAGCGTTCCCGCCACGGAAAAGAGGGAGCGTGTTCTGGTCCAGAGAGCTTCCTGCACCGTGATGGGACTTGGAGCACTAAAGCACTCAAAGCAAAGTGGCTGTTGCCATCTCTCAGAGCCAGAGCAAAGTTACAGCTGCGGGGGGATGTCTGAAGCTGCGCAAAGGCTTCGACCAGCTCCTGAAGCGGAGCGTGTAACAGGATGGTGAAAGCTGCCTTTGCTTTCCATGTGGGTCCCCCTCAGAGCTGTGCCTTTGGAGTGGGGAGTTCAGCACGGCTCACCCACTGTCGTGAGGGGTTGCTTACCCCGTGAACAAGCCCCATCGTGTGCAGGGAACAAGAAAACCAGCGCACAACATGTGTAAGTCATTTAGGAAGACGGGAACGATGAGCGGCGCACACAATAGAGCTGCTATTAGGATCTGTCGATCCTAATTAAAAAAATACTTCTCAATGAAAATTATTTATAAAAAGAAATCACAGTGACCCTAAATCAAATTATTTGTGAATGGTTTTTAGTCTCCCAGATCAGTTAAAACTCCTGTGTTAGTCACTGGATGTCATCCAAGCTACATGCTGAATGAATAACATCTCTGCCAAATTTCCTTTTTTTTTTTTTCACCCTCACCCAGTTTGGCACAGGACAGTTAAAGTCATTTTTCTAAATATCTTTCAGAACATCAAGCAACTGTAAAATAACAATGGGAAAGCTTGGCCACGGATAACTGCAGCCCTCCAGTTGGAACCGCTTCTCTCCAAAAAAACAACTCTGGTTCCTTTGATGGTCTGTTTTGGGTGAGCACCGAGGCAGGGATTCCTCTACAGGG